CCTCCTCCACCAAAGATTCCTGGTGCACCACCTCCTCCAAAGCTTCCTGGTGCACCACCTCCTCCTCCTCCAAAGCTCTCTGGAGCACCACCACCTCCCCCAAAGCTCCCTGGTGCACCTCCGCCACCACCTGGTGGGAAGGGATCTAGTGCCCCACCTCCCCCACCTCCAACCACTGGAAAGGGAAGAGGCACTTTAGGCTCTAGTACTCATGGAAAAAGTCGAATTGCAAGTGGCTCTACTATACCTCCCAAAAAAGCTTCATTGAAGCCTTTACATTGGGTTAAAGTTACAAGAGCCATGCAAGGTAGCTTATGGGCTGATACACAAAAGCAAGAAAGCCAAACAAGGTATGCCAAATTAAATATATTTTGGAATGTCAGAAAGTAGTGAAGTTAAAAGTTACAACTTAGAGTTTGATCAATGTCACTTAACATGGTGAATAAATTTATTGCAAACTTGTATTTTAGAAATAGACTGCACTACTATGTTCATGGAATTATATTCATTTTAGCGGGTCTAGTTTGTGGATATAAGAGAAATCTTAGGGTACTGTTTTCACTTAGTAGTTGGCAACTTCCTTTCTTCTCACTGAAACCCTGATTGCATTCTCTACTGTGATTTGATAGGGCACCTGAAATTGATATAACAGAGCTGGAAAATCTGTTTTCAGTTGCTTCTGCATCAGATGGCATCAATAAAGCTGGAGGCCGGCGTGGTTCGAAAATAAACAAACCTGAGAAAGTACAATTGGTATGTGAAAGTTTTAGCTGAACTTTTGAAAGTTATCTGACACTGTTGGTTTTCAAAAATGCAAGCTAATGTTGCACACATGGAGCCACACACGGGATTTAATAGCTGAACGTGATTTACTTGGGGTTGGAAGCCGCATTTCATGAATGTCTATTTCTAGACTAAATTCTAGCCGAGGTCTGGTCGTGTTTCCATGTTTTGTCTGCCTTATAATACCAATCATGATCCTACATAATTAAGAATTTTTCAATGAATGTTTCTTCGTCAAACCATCTATTGGCTGGCATCTTTAAAAGAGGGATAATTTTGCAATTTCTATTATAAACACCAGCTGACATCCTTTGTAAATGATGTTTATTCAACATTTAGTCCTACGTGAAAATAAAAACACAAATAAAATGTTGGTGGTTTGAAGAGTGTAATTCATTTATGGGAGGGAGTAGTAGAAAACATTTTTAAGCATTACTTTAAAATTATTAAGAATCCGTTCTTTTTTATTGAACTAAATAGAATTGAACTTAAAGTTGGTTATAATTTTTACCACAAAATGCTGAACATAATTGAAGCAAATTTTTTAGTCAAAAATATGTTCAAAAGATTTAAGTCACAAATCTCAAAAGTTTACTATAAATTCATGTTTTCTATTTTCCTTTTGTTTTCTCCACTCATACAAATATGTGCAGATATCACTTTTTGACAAGAGGACCAATAATGGATAAGATTATTAATTATGTAAGACTGGTATTATCATGTAAAGTGGACTAAACATGGAAAACCCAACAATACAAAGGATGTCTGTTATAATTTACTCCTGTTTCTAGGATACATTCATGGTAAGTGAATATCATTACTTCACAAATGGAGTAAACATTTGTGTCAATGGTTGCTGCACATGTGTGAATCTGGTGTAGGCAGGAGTGAACTCACACCAATGAATAAAGAGGAGAATGATGTTCAAAATGGCATCGCTGCTCTCATATCTCTTTAAATGTTTGTACTGGTACTCCACCTGTCACCGGACTTCCTAACTTCATTTGTGTAATGCGTACGCAGAATGAAATAGTTGAGTTGTATGCCGAGTAGAATTTGTATTTTAAAATAACCACATCTGCCCTAATCGTCTCTTCCTCATCTCTCCCAGTTTAGACCATCTATTCCTCGTCTCTTTTTCATCGCTCCCTCATCTTGTTTTCTTCCTTACATGCTTACCACGTCTTCTCAGTAACTGTGACACTTCCTCTTCCTTGCTGTCTTCTTTGTAACCCTAATTGAAATGTCACCTGTTTATGGTCTTGGAGTGAGGAATGCTTTAAGTGGCCAAGGTCGAGAGAAAAGGCCTGGTCCAGGGTGGGGGAGTACTTCTGCGCTCCAATCATCTTCACATTCAGAGGAAATAGTTGTGCTCCGAAGTGCAAGCATGATGTCAATGTCTGCCAAAAAGCCCCTAATGTGGGGATGCTTTTTTATGGTTGTTTTTTGGCCGGTAACTTCACTTGAAACCCCCCCCCAAGTGTCGAAGTTTAATTTGTTATTTGAAATTTACCGTAATTGTTTATATCCAGGCTAGTGGTTGTGTATTTCTTTGGTGGAAAGATGAAGTTGATGGTCAGAATTTGGTGCCAATGATGGTTGTTGATGACACTACCAGAGAATATTTTTCTGGCAAGATTGTGAGTTTGCAAGCTAAGATTGACTAAATGAAGAAGAAGAAGATTGTGTCAGAAGACAAAATCAATAGATTGCACAATGAATTGATGCAACTGAAGGTGGATAATTCAATTTCTGCAAATACGTAGAAGTATGCAGTGAAGGCTCTTTTGTTGTCTTGGGTTTGTTTTGGAGTTATGTTAGGCATGTTTTTTGTTGGAAGGGCTTTGTAGAAGCTTTTATCTATGTACCATATGTTAGGCATGTCGTTTTGGAGTTAAGTTAGTCATGGTGTGGGTCTATTTGAATGTACCACCTAATCAAATACTTATGGTATTCCATTTAATGAAATATTTAGTGTTTGCCATTTTCATCTCCAAATGGTCATGTTGAACTTCATTAAAATACTGATAAGTAATGACATAACCCTGGATTAATATTTGACACATTTGAAGTTATGTTATATCATATTTGATATATTTGACTTCATTAAAATACCGATAACTAAGTATTTAGTTTATATATGACATATTTAACATATTCAAAATTCCAATGATGGACCCTTGTTCATACTAAAACAAAATGACATATTTAACATATTCAAACTTATACTGAAGTAAACTGAACATCATTGTTATCTCAAAATGAAGAAACACACAAGTCTCCAAAAAAGATACATAAATAAGCCAAAATACATATATTACCCTAATTGGTTCATTGTTGTCCCACACTTTAACTACGATCCAGATGTTTGGACTGGAATTGAGGTTGAAACTTGGCTGCATATGTCATTTGAAGTACTCACACCAACATTACTTTTGTTTTTTCCCCTGCCACTGCCCCTGGGTCTTCCTCTGCCTCTTATTTTCTCTACCCTTGTAGCAGGTTCAATAGACCTTTCATGATGTGTTGGTGTAGAGCAAATTATTCCCTTGTATTTGTATCTGTGTACTTCCTCGTATAGGCCTTCCTTTAAGTCATTTAGATGGTGGTGGTTATGTGGTTGAGTTACCCTTGTTAGGGCACTTTCTTTCGTTGTATCCCTTGCACTTGTACATAACGCAAGTCATCTGATAACAATGTCTGGTCATGGTCAGCTTCCCATGGTTTTATGGTCCTTATGTGGGTCTTTTCTCCTTTTTTTTGGGGGGGGGGGGGGTCTCCCTGGCCCTAATTTAATGGGTGGAGGCTGGAGTTGTAAGTCAAAGCTTGGTCAATCTCTTTCTCCCACAACTGGACTTATGCATCCCTCATAAGTTCTGAAATATGCAGCTTTTCTCAAATAATCACTCACATACATCTTAGCCTTGTGTCTAAGGAAAAATGCATATGCAACTGCATGGCAACATGGCGTTCCTGACAAATCCCATTTCCTACATGTGCATGTTCTTTCAAGTTTCAATCATATTGACAGCCAATGAATCTAGCTTGTGGTTTATCTGGAAAACCATGTTGGAAGAAGGTATCCCATAACAATTTGTTGCTGCTTCTTTTTTCTTTCTCAAATTGTTCCTGCACCCTAGGACATACATCAAAACCATACTTCTCCATCTGCATCATTTTGGTGCAAAGCCTCTCCATCAATGCACTGCTAATATAATCTAGCATGTTGTTGACCACTACATATTACTTACTTCTAGTGTCTAAGAAGGATCTACAAAAAATCCTTGGGATTTTGGAAAATGAAGGTTTTCCATGCTTCAGGAGATTTTGAGTGCATTTGTTGCATAGCATCTTCATACTCAGCTCTTCTATATGCTCTCACAGCTCCAAAAACCAAAATACTCCCTTTAACTCATCACTTTTTTGTGTCATATGCCAGTAAGCATAGATGTGCCTATCACAGTTTCTATGCTTTGCCTGTGGGACTGATGGGAAATAGTGCTGACTGCATTAAGAATACCCTGTGAAATGTTCAAAATGTTGTTCACGGTAAGTTGATAATGTGGTGAACAGTTACTCTATATAACTTCAGAATAAGTAGTTAACAATAAGAATATACATTTTGTCCATACTAAGTTATTAGTTCAGAATAATGTTGTTAACAGTATGCATATACCTTTTGTTGATAATGCAGTCAACCGTTATTCTACATAACTTCAGAATGAGTAGTTAACAGTTAGCCTCACTCTCTATAGAGGTTATTACATCTTCATCACAGTCCTCATACTTACTTGAGTGATCAACCTCTCAGAGGACCCGTCTACAGTATCTTTATTTTGTATACTACTCCCATGACCACTAATTATCTCTTCGTGGACTTTTTTTTGAATTTCATAGTTCTCTTAATTTCAAAAACAGGTCACTGACTCTTTAGCCTTGAGGCAATTTATCATCACCAGTTACCGGTATCACTCTCTTCACCTAAGCAGATATCCCTATTATCTGGCTCACACCCTCCATCATTACTATGAAATCCAACTCCATCATCACCTTCATCCGCATGATTACCATAAATATCTCCCTCACAGTCTCTCTCATAGTCTGGTGAAGGATAACGTGGTGTCTTTGGCGTTCAATTTTCGTTTAGCTTCCTTGTCCCAACTTCACTCTCATGGTGGACCACATACAAAGATACATAAGTACATTATCCAACCTCTTCATTATTTTGGAAATACCGAAATAGTCAACACTTCATTGTCTTCAATTATAGTTGTCAAGCCATTGGCAAAACTTTTGTTAGGGTTGAAAAAGTACAATTTCACAATAACCTGGTACCCACCACATCCTTTTGCAAGTTTGAACAAATAAAAATAGTCTATCAAATCAGGATATATGGAATGGTAATCATGACACTTCCCCCTAGATATTGTAACCTACTCTTCCCTTCAGTCTTACGTGATGAGAAGTGACAACAAAAAAGGTGGTATTCATTATTACCTGGTGGTATATGGTCTCAAGAGTGACACATCAGTGAAAAAGAAGAGAGTTGACACTGAGATTGAAATGGAGGAGAAGGACAAATTATGGGGTTCTTTCACCGGGAAAACATCTCAGCTTCATGATCACATTGCACAAACGGAGTTAGAAAGTCCGGTGACTGGTGGAGTACCAGTGTAAACATATAAAAATATAGGAACAGTAGAGCCATATATTGAGTCTGGGAGTAATTACGTAAATCGTGAAACTCTAGTAGTAATTCTAGGAGTGCCAACTAATTACTAATATTGTTTGATTTTGAGAATTAACAACCCCACCTAGTGGGATAAGGCTTTGTTGTTGACTTGTTGTTTGAGAATTAACAACTAAAGTGGTGAATACACTTAATTCTCCTTGTACCAAGAAAGACCTTGCTCATTCCAACTATGCCATGTTGGAATTAGACACCCCTCTCTCTCACATACACGCTAGCTCTATCTATCTCTCTCTATCTCTCTCTCTCTCTCTCACACACACACACACAGTCAGACACACACATTCTATTGAGGGATTTTGATGGCTGCCGGTGATTGTTTGCTTCGTTAATTTTGCTTTTCACAGGTTGAGCACCGAAGAGCCTACAATTGTGAAATTATGCTTACAAAAGTTAAAATTCCCCTGCCTGATATGATTGTGAGTTCAGTTCCAAGTCTCCTATTTGTTTGTTTATTTATTTATTTGTTTATCCATATATTATCTGTTTGTTTGTTTAAAGTTGATTACCTTTTAGATATCCTTTACATAAGTAAGTGTATTCAAGATCAAATTTCCTAATTTATAATTTGCCTAATTCTACCTCAATTGCAAAGAAATGGATCAACAGCAGGAGTAGATGAAAATAAAGAACCATAAATATAATGTCATCCAAAGGTACTTTTTTTATGTCATGTTGTTATGTGTTATGTTCAGAATGCTATTTTGGCTTTGGATTCTTCGGCACTGGATATTGATCAGGTTGAGAATCTGATCAAATTTTGTCCTACAAAAGAAGAAATGGAGACCCTGAGGGTATATTCTTCTCTATTTCTCATCTTTTTTCATTCTATCTTTCTGATTCCCGACACAGGAGTTCCTGTGAATAAAATTTGTGGTGTATGCTTTCGATAGGAGTTTTTGTTTTGAAACAATGATCCTGCTTGGTTCACACTGTGAATTCTATAATCTTTATTCGTTTGAATCTCTTGGGTACTCCTTTGCTAGAAATCTTAGCATGTGAATGAAATTGCTTGAATTCAGGATTAATCTTTCTACGATCAACACGATACTGCATTCCGGGGGCATGTAATGTGACATAGGCTATATCTGCTGTTTTGTGTGCTTTTATTAAAACTATGGACCCCCCTGAAGAGAGGAGATACCATGTTATAGTGACTACTGAGTGGTTGCTGGTTGCAAACGACTTCTGATTATGAAATAGTTTTTTTTTTTTGCACTTCAACTTGTGTGTAATTTGCATTGGTAAAATTCTTCATATACTACTGCACAAATGATGCCATACATCCATATTTGGCAAAAGAATACAGTTTACACCACCAACCTCCTTCTGTGTCACTCATTAAATACTCAAAAAAAGGAAAGTTATATATTTACTCCACATTATGTCTTTACTTTGCATGTCAATTCGTTGCATTTTACATTGCTGTAATCACCTTAAGGCCTAACTAGTTGCACATAGTCTTTCAGTGAAAAAACTCAATGGTCACATTTCTTTTTGTTTTTTATTTGTTGATAGTTTTCCAATAGTTTTATATACTTGCATGAAATTTTCATAGTTATTCTAAATTCTCAAATATTTGTCATTTTTTGCTTTAATTTTCAGAACTACACTGGGAATAGGGAAATGCTTGGCAAGTGTGAACAGGTTCTTTCCCACACTCGCCCACCCAAATAATGAATGTTTCAGTGGTAAATAAAACACGAAGTGATGACTGATCAAATAACCTTTAACTGGAACATCATTTTCAGTTTTTCTCGGAGTTGATGAAGGTTCCACGAGTTGAATCAAAGTTGAGAGTTTTTGCATTTACTATTACTTTTTCAAATCAGGTATTTGTTTGGTATTCTACTCCGTACATTTTATGTGATATAACTAACATTTTATGATGTAGGTTGTGGGGCTACTTCAAATGAGTGTGTCTCCCTCTTTAAGATATCAACTAATCATTCTGAAACAAAATGGATTGTTAATCTCAATAAGTGAATTAATTTTTCAGGTTAAAGACTTGAGATTGAACTTGAATACTATCAATGATGCTACTAGAGAGGTTCTACTCCTAGCACTAAAATTTATTGCTCAAAACATTTTTGTTTCCTCCTAATTATGTTTCAAATTTTGTTAGGTAAAAGAATCTGGGAAATTGCGAGAAATAATGCAGACCATTCTAACCCTGGGAAATGCACTGAATCAGGGCACTGCACGAGGTAAAACTTGCTATGGCTCATTTTTTTAGGGGCATTCTTTAATCAAGCCAATTGAATAATGATTTTCTTTCACTTTTTTGGTGATGCATTGCAGGATCTGCTGTCGGGTTTAAATTGGATAGTCTTCTTAAACTTTCTGATACTCGTGCTAGAAACAACAAAATGACTTTAATGCATTATCTTTGCAAGGTAGAGATTTTTGTTTTTGTTTTTTTGTCTCTTTGGTATCACTTATATCTTGTAATGTTTCTATAAACTGTTTAGCTTAAGAGAAAGAAATTCATTTTCTCGGTTGTAATGCTCTGAATTTCTGCAATCACCATATGTTTTTTTTAGTCTTCAAGATATTGTGTAAAATTTGAATTGGGGTGCTATTGTCACTTGTTCAACAGCTGCTTGCAGACAAAATGCCTGACCTGCTTGATTACGGAAAGGATCTTGTTCATTTGGAAGCAGCCGCTAAGGTTTGTTAATATTGAAACCATTGAACTTAGACGGAAGGGTGTGGGGGGGGAGGCATGGCCGGGATGGGCTACGTGGCCTCCACACCGCCCCGCTCCTCCGTGACTGTGATGGCGGTGATCACCATCACACACATCATGCTTCTTTCTCCTCTTTTCTTTTCTTTTTGTTCTTTCTTTTTTTCCTTTGTTTTCTTTTCATCACACCTCTTTTCTTTTCTCCTCTTTTGCCATCTTCCTTTGGTTCTCACTTTTGGTTTTTTTGTACTTTTATATTTTTTGTTTAAAATTTTATGGGGAGTACTTTTTGTTTTAAATTTTATGTTTCTTGGTTAATTAAATGTCAAATAAAATTTAAAAAAACAAACCAATGAAATTTTTAAATTTAATTTTATTGAGAATTTTATTATATATTTTAAGTTTAATTTATTTAAATTAAAATATTTTTAAAGAAGAAAAAAAGGGGTGTGATGGGTGTGATTCACACCCCTGGACGGGGATAAGATGTGATACGAAAGAGAAAAGTTGACGTGGTGTTGAGTGGCAGGAAGGGATGGCGTGATGGGCGTGATCCACACCCACCAGTCTTATTATTTTTCTTTGCATCTTTACTAAGCCCCCCTTGGAATGATTAGATCCAACTAAAGTCTTTGGCTGAAGAAATGCAAGCAGTAAGTAAAGGTCTTGAGAAAGTTGATCAAGAACTCACTGCCTCAGAGAATGATGGTGCCATATCTCATGGCTTTCAAAAGGTGTGAGTGTGAGACTAGATAATACTTCAGTTTTTAATTCCTTCTGCATATGTTTTGTACTCCGTATAACATAGTTTACAGTTACATCTCTGGTTTGTGGCTTGGAATATCATATGATTTGTGATTATTCTTTGAAAAGAAGTAAAAGAAAATGAAAGAATTGCAGGAACATTGGTGTACTATTATTGTTTTCCTCAAATTTAAGTGTTGATCCTCTAGTTTTCAAATATCCATTTCTAAATGCAACTTGAGTACTTTACAATATTCATTTGTAGCTATATGGATTTTATTTTACATATGTGTTGAATATAATGCTTAGCTGGTAATTTGAACCTGTTTCTCAGGTCTTGAAGAGTTTCCTTGATACCGCTGAAGCTGATGTTAGGTCTCTAATCACCCTGTATACTGAAGTGGTGAGCCACCCACTGTTTGACTTTTTGGTTCTCTATTTTTTTTGGCATTTCTCTTTTCATTAGCCAGTTTGCAGAGAAAGGTTGTTGATGATCACGACGTGGTATTTGTAGGGGAGAAATGCAGACTCTCTATCACTGTATTTTGGCGAGGATCCTGCTCGATGCCCCTTTGAGCAAGGTTGGTAACAAAATCCGTTTGTCTCGTTTCTGTCCACATTGCTTTCTGCAGATGGACCAAGTTGTGAGACCAAAGTGTTCAAATAGACCACTGTATCAT